AAATGACTTCTAGTTGACACCACAGCAAACTCCATGGAAACTGAGCAAGCTCCACAGACTAATTAAAGCCACAAGATGTGGTTAAAAGTTCTGGAAAAAGCTAGTGGACCTTGAGTGGAATATTTTGTCAAAAATGTGTATCTGCTTGTTCTTGTTGACTGACCTGTTTGTTCAATTAGACCAAGAAAAAACTCTAAAAGAAAGACATTAAAAAGAAACTTAGCTTTAGAGTAAATGGCTTCTATGTCTCTCTCTCAGACAGGAGTGAGAATAAAGATGCAGCTGGATGTCGTGAAAGCAAATCAGATTCCCTCGACATGTCAGGCTTTTATATTTAACTGTGCGGAGCAGTGAGATTAGTCCGGTACACACACGGGAGAGAACTGCTGCTACTTTTAGAGCTACAGCAGCGTGAGAGGCAGCCAGGCTGAAAACCTGAGGCATTACTGTGCAGGAGACTTAAAACCACACACACACACACAATCTGTTCCTGTGGATGTACAGTGCTACAACAGAGCAGATAGTGAGTGCTGCTCCTCTGCACTCTTGTCCTTATCTCCAGTGCTGACTCGCCTTCCCCTCTCCAACATTTAAAATAAAAATGTGTTTATAATGTAACAATATAGACTTGGCATAAGCTCCAATAATGGTAAATCACATCAGGCCCTATCCTCCTCTTTTACCCCATATATGAATATACATCCCAACACATTGTTATATATAATACACCAAATGGTTTTATACAGCATACTAAGTGTATTGTACAACATCCTAAATATGCTTTAAAAGGATCAATTATGTTGACTTTACATTCTTGGAATTATCAAGGCAATTAGGGTTTTACCTGAAAATGTCTACCGACTAAAAATGTACACAACAATGCAATTGACCTTTTCTGAGGTCCCGCCCCTTTTTGCTCTGTGCTCCAATAAGAGTTAAGCAAGCCTCATCAGAACCTCAGCAAACTTTCTCCTATCCTGTATGCAAAAATAAAACTGACTAACTAACTAATGATTTATATAAATAAACAACTATTTACCTAGTGTTTTGCTAACATTAGTTAGCTTTTAGATGTAACTAGCTATTTAATAATTAGTAAGTAAGTAAATTAGCTAGCTAGTTAGCTAGTGTGTTTTTGTTCTGTAGCAAAATGCTAGCTAACTAGCTAACTAATGATTGATGGAGATTAGCTGGCTAGTTAGCTAGCGTTTTGCTTACATTCGCAAGCTGACTTAAGATGTGACTATATACTGTATATACGTTGCTTATATCTTTTATCTTCAAAGCGGGGTTTTCTTTTTAACATAGACGAGTACAGGAAAGGAGAAGGTTCTGACCGAGGCTTGCTCAACTGTCATTGGAGCACAAAGCAAAAAGAGGCGGGACTTAGGAAAGGTTAATTATCGTTATGATAACAGTTTGGCTTCTTACATGACACATGGACCTGTAATGATCCCGCTGACAGATGTGAATAGTGTGTGGAAATGGAAGCAGCTAAACAAAATTAACAAAGAACTCCTAAATGAGTCATTATCGCCCTGCATTGCACTGTGTGTGGGGGTGTGGGGGTGTACAGTAGGTCACAGCATAACAGCACTGACCCTGGTCACAAGACACACACCCACACAGAGTGTTGTTTGGTGCTGAGGGTGTGTCCTCTCCCTCCATCTCTCTGTAGTGTTTGTTGTGTTTGCAGAGCTGCAGCGATGACTCAGTGATCTGCCTCAGACCTCCACTGACTAAGGGCAGCAGTATATGGGTGGAGGAGGTTTCCAAACTGGCCAGTAGCAGAGTAATTCACACAGCAGCCAAGCTCACAATCACAACAATCTTGAGAAAAAACTAAATGACTTCCAGTTTTTGGAATGCTCTGCCCCATGTGACAGGAAACCAGTGCTATTTCCTTTTTATTTGGTGTAAAACTCCTATTGGAGGAAAGCTTCCACAGTAGCTCTCTAGAGGTTTGTTGGAGTTCTGATGGCTCCCAGAACTAAGTTGATTATCATTGGTTTGTATGAACACGGCCAACTGTGTTCACTGCAATGGCATAACTGATTATTTAACAGGGTTGGTAATATTGTGATTTAACATTTATTGCCCTATTCTGTTTGACAACATAATATATAAAATTATGTCTATATATATATACACACATATATACATATATACATACATGTAAAGGCTACCTTGCTTTTAAGCCAAAATGTGCAACGTTACCCACCACCACCTGCCACTAAGCAGAGGATATGAGAGCTTTCCTGTAAGCAGCGACAGAGGGAGAGGTACACACTGATATTTAGAAAGCTCCATCAGACAGATTCAGTGCTTAACAAGAATAAACACATTGACTGACACATTGTGCAGTGTGACTTGCAGATGGTGCTTGTCCTAACAGAGGTCCCCCTGAGAAACCATCATGTTTTACCTTTCTTTTTACAGTGTGACAGCTGTGAGCATCTCCAAACATCGCCCTTACTCTACAAAAGAACACTGTGTCTTCCTTTTCTGTGGTTCATACTCACTATTTTGGCCACTTTTCCACATTTACGGAGGGACTGCACAGCAAAGGAATGAGGCACGTTGTCCATGGGGGTGGAGTTGACCTGAATGACACGATCGTTCTCACTGGACAAAAAATAACACACAAATAATAAAAATCAATGTCAACAGTAAAAATGTTTAATAATTAACACAGTCCTGCTCTGTGTGTACTTCCACTTAAACTTGATTGCAGAAAGAAATTATTTGTCCTAGACTGATTTATGGCTGGTCGGCTTTGTCAACAGAGATCATCTTGGGGATAATGATGTATTGTACTTTCTTGACCTTGTGTACAGCTGGGGAGTACATTTATAGCCATAGAGCTGTGTGGGGAGGTTGTGGATTCTACAGCAGGGAATTCAGTCATTCTTGAAGCATTTTCCGCAGAGGAGGATTTTGCTCACTGTTTGACAGACTTACAAGAGTAATCCATCTGCCGGTCCTCCCTGCAGCACATCTGACACGATGATTGACGTCTCACCATTCTCCACGTTGGGGTTGTCACGCCCACCTGACACAGCAATGCCAAAACCCATCTTAGAGTCCTGCAGAAAGAGAACTCCATTAGTAAATACAGTACATTCAGACAGAATGTGACTCATAACAACACTGAGCCAAACTGGGCTGAGAGTTTAAACTGGTGTCAGTTACCTTCCAACAGGCACTTACTGAAGTGCTCATTGTTTTGTTTCTGAAACTCTGATGATATTTATTGGTCTTGCTGACAGAGGAAATTCCCCCCAGTTATTGTCTTTTCTATCCAGCTAGGATGATTGTTTGCTTCATGTGTATTGCAGAATATACTGCATCTGATCTGGTCATCCCTGTCTCATTAAGAAGATCTGAATAACCACTTTATTGTTTTACTTGGTAAGTTTTGAAGGAAACATGATTGCTGCTGTAATTTTGCTCACTGATGATGTGTTACCTCCTCGTACTGCACGGAAGTTGTAGGGAGGTGGCGGAGGTGCACAGGACTTTGACACCAGAGAGGAGGTGTGTCTCACATGTAGACTGTATAACATGGTCTCAAAAGAGCATAGGATAAGGCGACTATAAACACTGCTTAAGGCTAGAATAGGGAAAGATATTGAAAGACTTAACAGATTATGTGTTGGGCCTCAAGTCAGCACTGACTTTTATTCAATATTCAAGGCTATATATGAGATTCACTGCTACTAGATGTTGCACTAGACAACAACATCTCCACTATGGCCCACCATACTCCACTGACAAAACTAGTAATTTTATCAAGCAGATAATCATAAAACACACTTCATACTGGACAGTAGGGATGTCATGAGAACCAATACTTCGGTACCAAATTGATACCAACATTTTGAAAACATGACCGTACTCGTTTTCAATAATGTTGTGCAGCCCCATAGCAACAGACTGCTCTGCACTGTGTGTTCTGACCCCTTTCTATCAGAACCAGCATTAACTGTTTCAGCAGTTTGAG